CCTTCTTTTCGGTAATTGGGATCTCTTTTTGTATATTGAGCTCCTTAGTATCATAGATAATAAAATCAAATCTTTTCCCATTACTTATTTTCCATTCTTTCAGATAGATTTTAAAACAAATGGGGTCCGGAATATACACTTCAGTCTTTTTCCCCTTAAACTGCATTTCAGCTAGTCAATCAATTTTGCAAGTTAAGGTGACTTTTTTATTTTGATATTAAAAAAGTGAAACAATGGCTATATTGGCAGATCAAGCTTTCCATTCAGAAAATGAACATACAGATTCAGAAGAAAACATGAGCTAACCTTTGCAAATTTGTCTGAGGATACTTCAAGACTAATGACTGTTTTCATTTCCAAACTGTTCTGATTAAAATATGAAGTCCAAACAATATTGTTCTAAGCCAGTGTTGTCCAAACTTGGCCACTTTAAGATGAGTGGACTTCAACTCCCAGAATTCCCCTGGCTGGGGGAATTCATCTTAAAGTGGCCAAGTTTGGACAACACTGTTCTAAGCTATTCTTACCATTTGAGGTGGTTACAGAAATTAGATTGCATACATTCAGGGAACTGTCTGCCAGTTGGTAACTTGCTGCTGGCTAGCCTTGCCACATCCTTGTTCAGATTTGCAACTAACTATATTCCCCTCCCCCATCTTCAAAGGAAATGTTAAAAAATACTTTTATAATGTTCTCCTGTGCTTGTTGCAATCCTTCCTACACACCTTCTGATACTGGCATGCCAAGAGCCTTGCAATTTAACTCTTGTGCAGTTAGGGTGCTAAGTTATGTTATGAATACAGGGGTTGAGAAGCAGGCATTCAGAATTCTTTACCAATTAAACACTCAGTCATTTTATTGGCAGGAAGGTAATCTTTTGTTGGACTGAAATCTCTGTCTTTAAATGCCCTGATTCTTGATAGGCTTCCTCCCTGATATTTAGCCCTTCCCTGCTGATATGTTCAAACGTAGTGTGCCTGCCTGTTACGAGCTTAAGGTGAGATTATTGGTACCTGTTCTGATCTTGTCTGTGGAGCCTTCATAGCATGGAAGGAACATTAATCAATAAATTTGGATAGAGACAGATTGAAGGCCTCAAATGTTTCCAATAGAGACCTCTTCTATATCTTTATCTTTATCTGTATCTATATTGTATCATCTATATCTGTTCCTCATAGGAGAGCCTTTATTCTGGTGAGGGTTGATGTCTTACCCTCTACGGTGCTTGAAGGAAAAAAGAGTGCTTATTCTTGGAACATTTAAGTCTCTGCTTGGATAAAGCTATTGAAATATCTGCCTATGTATTGTCGCATTGATCTTTTTATGATACCTAGCACTCTTAAAAATACCTCTTTACTGACTGTTTTGGTTGGCCTTAAGAGGAAGTAATATATTTCTATCACAGGATCAGTTCACTAATACATTTGTGAAAGTAGCTAAATTCAGTTCTGGTGCAGTCTACATCAGCAAGCACTGGGTTAGAATTTGACCCTAGGGTCTTTTTCATATTATTTTATTTTATCGTGTATTTAAAAAAATGAATCTCTATCACTTCTGTGTTAGATTCTTTCTCTTTTTTTCTCTTTGATAGTAAGTAAATAAGCAATAACATTAGAGCACATTTTTCAGTTGCTTTAAAAACAAACACACATTTGAATTAGACACTTTTCCCCCCTATATTGAGATTCTCCAGAAGATGCTTTACTGAAAAAAATGAAAGCTATGCAAAATTCAGATCAGTGATACGCTAAAGGACAACTTTACACAGATGGAATTCATTTTGCAATTTTATAAACTCTTTGAAGTACAACCATCTAGTGTTCTTTTGCTCTCCTTAATACTAATTTTAAGTTTGGTTTTCTGTACAGGTACAACTCTAAGCCTTCAGTTGAAGTTAAGTTCATGAGTTAAAATAAATGTATGGCAGTAATTGTTTGCTCAGTCAATATATTATCTTTATTGAGAACAAACTTTACAGACATTAAGGGTTTTATAATAACACACACACACATTACACACATGGAAAAAATCTTAGCTATATTATAGAATCAGTTTGCAGTCATTACCTAGAAATTAATTTCTGGTACAGTAATTTTGGATAATTGTTTGAAAACATTTAGTCTTTCTATTTGGTTTCTTGGGTGTCCTTGAATCTGATGTGATTGATCTTCTTTCCACAAACATACAGCTTATGCCATATATGCATAGATCAAATAACTCTGTTCAATAGCAGATAAGTTTGTTCTAATTTAAACTGTTTATTCCCTACTACAGTTATACTTGATGGTTAAACTATTACATAGAAAATGAAAAATGTTATTCAGATTTTAAAACCCTTTGTTCATATTCAGTAATCCTGTTGAAATGTACCACCATAAATAACTACTCTGCTGACAGATAATGGAATATATGATTTTTTTAATTAACCTGTTTAATATTTCTAGAGAACTCATATTTTCTTTAGAATTCTGAATTTTCCCAAAATAGTAATGCAATTTAGTGCAAAATTAAGCCAATAAATTGTATTCACTGCATCATTAAGATGTCTAAAGAATTTTCTTCACATACCACTTTTAAGGGAGTATACTTCTTTATACCCACTCTATATTATCTAGAAGAAAACTTGTTACAGAAGAAAAGTTGTTACAAATTTAGTTTATGTTGGAAAGTTCCAAATCCAGTGTGCTGCAGCATAATGTATAACTACAGATAAAAGTCAATTGAGCTGCTTTTTGACTAACATTACAGGAATTGGGAACCTAGACTACCATATCAAAGATCCAGATCAACAGAACAGCGTCCAGTGCTAGAGCGGCCCAGCCCCCGCTCCCGATCCACTGAGCGTCCTGAGTCAAACCTCATGAGATCGATGCCTTCATTAATGACTGGAAGATCTGCCCCTCCCTCACCTGCATTATCGAGGTGAAACAGATGGATTAATCCTGCCCCACCAGCTCACTTTTTTATTTTCCCAAAACCTCAATAGTATTTCCTTTCATCATTGGCTGATCACTAGTAGTTGTAGATACTAACCCTGCCAACGTCAACACACTATTTATATTCCACTGGGGATATAATGGTGTGGCTGCCATTGTAATTTGTTTACTAACAATAATTAATGAACAATTACTTACATTTGTTTGTGATTTCTCATTTATTAGGAATCCTGCGTGATTTCTTACACTAAAGCACTTCATAACTATCATGTATTTCTCTTACAGAATAAGTAATTAAATGTGATCATCAGACATCGCTTATGGAATAATAATCATAACATCAAGTGATAATTTTTTAAAAAATAGTTTCTTAAATTTGTACTAATTTGATATATTAATCACTGTTTTTTCTGATTTGCTGTGTGCATGTTTTGCATTTTTCTTGTTTTGGTAATGTATTCATGATTAAACAGTATTGATTTAATTAATCTTTTACAAATAGTACAATGAAGATGGAGAAGATATTTGTGAAACTAATTTTGTCCAAATCAGATTGTCTAGCTTCTTTGCTTTTCTGTAGTCAATTACAACGATTAGTAACAATGATGTTATTATTTCATTTCACTCACTGAAATATACTTCTGTTTTATTGCCTGTCATCAGATTCATGGCTGTGTAAATCATTAACTCAATGTTAGTTGAAATTTGAAATATCCGTCAGCTGAACATGGAAATATTCATATTCATGCATACGATTCTCTGTTACTTTCTTTCAGTATGTCTCAATGCATGTATGCATATACTTCTACATGCATTTCCTTATATGGTTAACAGATACAGTTGCAAAAACATATTGTGTGCCATCTTTTTGCATACTGTCTGCCTTTTTTTCCAGGTAAACCTTTCTTATTGGTAACCATGCTTTTTAAAATCTTTAAGGTTGAACTGTCATCATTTCAACTAAAGTTCAACCTGCACAAAAGCCATTAATCATTCCTTTGTTCTCAAACTATATAAGAATAAATATATGTTACAGTTTATGGTTTCTCTTGATGTGTCCTATAGGTCACATGTTCATTCGGGGTCTGTCCAGACAAGCCCATCAAGTACTCCGGTAGCAGGACGCAGGGGTAGACAGTTGCCACAACTCCCACCAAAAGGGACACTGGAGAGAAGTAAGTGAGCATTTTAAATTAAGAAAAGTTATGAGAAGTAGAAAAGGAAAGTAGTTTTAAATTTTAAAAACCTTTGAACCTATAACATCCTGAACTGATTTTTGGCAAAACATGTATTTTTAAATTGCTATTTTAATAGATTTTAATGCTTTTAAAGAAAGTATATAAATTCACCTTGATTATAGAAATAATATATGGACTTTAATTTGTCTTATTTCCAGGGCTTTGGAAATATAGGTTAGAATTTTATCTTTAAAACTGTATTATTGCTGTGTTTTAGAGGATTGCAAATGCTTATTGATTTTATTCAATTCATAGGAATTTGGATTATGCAGGACTGTTGTAATATAGGAGCTATATAAGTATTCTAACAGTGAAGATAATGTATGAATAATATATGTATATATGATGGCTAAAATTTTGAAGCAGGTTTATGATATTATACCTAAAATGGACCACACATGTGAATCAATTATGGATGGCAACATAAATTAAGCTGTATATTCTAATAATATATTCATTGTTCAGAAGTCTCTGGGCGAGCGTTTATGTGTGAACATTGGAGAAAAATGATTGCTCAGTGCTACTATGAATAGCCAAAGGATCATGTTATATCCATCCTTGGTTGTTACACCTAGTTAAAAATGAATTAATAATCCACATTATAAGATGCTGACTGGATATTAGTGGCTTAACATCACATTTCTGGCCTAAATCACATTCTCAGAACCACAGATGTAGCTGAGCAGCAGAGTGACAGACCAGTTCTATTCATAATCTATTTAGAAGTAAGAATATGCTCCTGGCTAAATGGAAAAAGGGTTGAGGATCTGACAGCTAATCAGTCTTAAGCTCAGGCCTGGATATACTGAAATATAAAATCAGTTATACATGTTTTCTAATATTTAACTCCTATTTTAGATATTTTTTAAAGAAACTTTACTCAGAGAGTTTATGTAAACATCTGCTTAACTGTCCATATAAATATTATGTTCTTATAAACATTTTCCTTTTTAAAGAAGATGCATTTTCTGTGTTTAAAAACTTTTTTCTTCAATCTCGTGTTTTCATTCCTTTTGTGTTTCATTTTCCTTAGACCATGGAGATAAAATCTGTACAGGAAAGATCTTATATGCAAAGAATAAACTTTGTTGCAATTGATATCACTTGATATAGATTGATCTTGAATCTGTAAGAGTCAGTATAGGATTGGATTGTTCCCAATTCAAGCCCACCTTTAGCTATGGAAACCTGCTGAGGAACTTTGGGTCCGTCATCCTCCCTTGGTCAGTCCAACCACACAGGATAAAATGAAGGGAGATCCCCATGTAAACTGCCTTGAGCTCTTGGAGGAGAGGTAGATAGAAATACAAGAAAGGAATAAATATATTTATTTTATATTTAGACATATACTTTTTAATGTTTTGTTTTCTAACTCAATTGACTTTAAATAGTTTTTGATAAAATAGATACATTTAGAATACATTAATCAGACAAAAATTATATCTTTTGAAATCAAGGTTCATAAATCATGTTCATGAGTAAATAGAATAAGCAGGTAGTTAGGTTCTAAGCTTGTACCTATGGTTGTTCCCTTTATGAATTATAATTATTAATTCATCATTAGGAATTATGAATGCTCACATCAGTCAGGAACAACTTCTGTCAGTGAAAAGTGGGGAAAAAAACCACGTCCAAAAAAATTTCATACAACCTTTTCAGCAAAAATAATTTCTGTGGCTTCAATGGCTATAAAAAAGGTCTCTTTAGGTGCAACAACACTGAGGTCTGAGGTCTGAGGTCAATTCAGTTTGCAATACTTGTCCTGCAAATTGTCACTGGAGGTATTTCAGCAATAGTAGGGTGTAAGGAGTAAAAAAGGCAAAATATGAGGATATTTAAAACAGGAAAGAGGAACAGAGAATTTTTCTTTAAAATACAATAGATATTTAAAAGTAGTAATCTGCACTAAAATGAAAAAAAACCCCTAAATTAATGTATATTATGCAAGTATAGATTAACCTGATTTTAAATTCTGATTGATGCCAAATCCTGTTTAATATTAACCAGAATTACAATGATTGCTGATATATTTTAAAAAGCTCTGGTTGGCAAGATGAATTATAATGTGATAAATGGAGGCACATTAAATGCCATATCCCACTTGTTATCCCAATTTTTTGTGCTTTATTGAACAAATAAAATGACAATGACAAAATTATTGTTTTTTTAAAATGCGGATGGGGAAAGAAGCCTGGGTGTTTATATCATGAAGAAATAACTCCTGAATGACCAAATTAGTCAAAAGTCTTCTTCCCGTGCCCCTTTGTTAAAATAATATGTTGACAAACAATACATATTGACAAGCCACTGCTACAGTTGTAGTTTTATTCTTTAATGTTGTATAATAATTTGTTTGATTCTCCCTCATAGATAAAGGCTTATCTTAATAAATTCTAAGTAATGGGGATATAGCCAAGAAGAACATATGTATTCTCAACACAGTAATTGCTCTTTTCATGCTGACAGTTCTGTGAATTTCAGCCCTGAATATGGCAATAAGCCAAAGGATTTCCTGAATTACATCCAAAAAAGGTGAACTTCCTTTTATGTCAAATATACATGAAACATTTTTTCATATTAACAATAAACTTTATTTTATCATAGAGTCATTAAATTGGAAAGGACCTTAGATGTTGCCTAGTTCAGTCTCTTGCTCCGTGCATGATCTGTTACATCATTTCTGAAAAAAGCATCTTTGATCTCTGTATGGTCAGAGGAACCTAATTTCACATTATTTAAAGCAACTTTCTATGATCTATAAGAATAGGATATTTGAACTCATTATTTGCTCAATCTTCTGCTAAGATTGCAGAAATAATTAATAACCATTTCATCAAATTTCTTATGAGTTATCTATTTCATCTTCAACTTCTTATGAGTTATTGTCTTAGAAGCCTCAACTGATTCCTCTAAAACCTTCTCACAAATTTGGCAGCAGCAATAACATCAGGGCCAAATAGTTTAAATAACAAATGTTGAAGATGAATATGTTGAGGAGAAGCACTCTGAGGTAAAGCAAACTCACTTTTAAGTTCTGTGAATGTTTTTAAAACTTCTTCAATGGAAGAAAGCTATTCCAAGCCAATAACAGCATAAGAAGTGCAATTTACCCTTGAAAAGGGGGTTTCCAGCTATTTTAAATATAAGATTATCCCAGAACAAGAGATCCTTTTCATCTCTTAGTTTAAGAAATTGTGGTTTTCCACATCTTTATAGACTGTCTATAAAGACATCTTAAAAAAAACTTTTAAAAAATCACTTGCAGCCATTGTTTACATCACAAAAGATTAACATGGATTATTTCTCATGGCTTGTTATGAGATTTTTCATTTGCTTTGTATATTGCAATGGTATAATTTAATTCCCTGAAATAGATAACTTTTCAGAAGTCTGTTAAACCCAGTTTGCATTTTCCTATTGTTTTTTTCTGTTTGAAAATGCTTGTAACTGTTAAATGGTATGTCATATAAACATATAAATATTTCCATTAGATATAAATAATGTATAAGAAAATTAGGTTTTTAATTTATAAAAATAATTTTAACATATATGTTCCTTTGGTAAATAAGAATGTTACAGTGGCATCATGGCCATGGTATACACAGAATGCCTTAAAAGAAGTGGATTATCTGAGCCCCTTTCAATCAGGGTTCTGGCTTACTTATTTATTCAATTTATATGGCTGCCCATCTAAAACCTATGACTCTGGGTGGCTAACAGGGAATAAAAACAAAATAAAAACATCTTAGCAAAACAATAAATAATAAATGTAGAGTAAGAGCTAAGATAAAACCAACAACACAGTCAACATATTAAGGATACAGGCTCAACCACACACCCCAGGCCCTAAGCTTGGCAACAAAACCATGTCTTTAGGGCTTTGGGGCAAGTATAATCTCCAGTTGAAAGATGTTCCCGGAGGTGGGCACAATGACAGAAAAGGTTCTCCTTTGGAGACCAGCCAGATGACATACTTAATGGATGGGACCTGGAGCATACCTCTCCTGGATGTCACAGGACAAGTAGATACAACTGGGGAGAGATGGTCCCACAAGTAATCCAGCCCCATGTCATGAAGGACTTTATAGGTCACTACCAGTAATTTCAATTGAACCCGGAAACATATAGAGCAGAGGCATCATAGGCACTGAATGAAAGGCACCCATAACTGCCTGTGCTGCTGCATTTTGTACCAGCTGAAGCTTCTAGATGCTCTTCAAGGGCAGCCCCATCTACAGCACATTGCAGTAGTCCAGTTGGGAGTTGATCAGAACATGAGAGACAGTGATCCTCCCAATCCAGGAACAGGCACAATTGGTACACAACACATAGCTGTGCAAAGGCTCCTCCTAGCCATTAATGCCACCTGCTGTTTGAGCAGGAACCACAAGTCCAGGAGTACCCCCAAATTGCACACAGGTTCTGTCTGGGGTAGTGCAACCCCATCCAGAATAAGAGATGAAATGTCCCCTGAATCCAGAGGCCCTAAAACCGAAAGCCACTTGTTCTTGCTAGGGTTGAGATGAAGACTGATATTTTCCATCTAGACCCCCACAGCTTCCAGACACCAAGACAGGACCTCCATGGCATCACTTGGATGGTGCAGGCTGGAGATATCCTCACCCCAAACCATTGGATGACCTTACCCAGGAGCTTCATGTAGATGATAAACAGGAGAGGAGAGAGTAACAATCCCTGCAGCACCTTACAAAGCAGGATCTGTGGGCTGGAGCTCAGTACCACTGCTGAGATACTACTTCCTTAGTGGACATTTCTAGTTTGCAGTTATAGGGGAGGAGAGGTCAGCTTGGGGGTTCCTCACCTTTAAGTTACCATAGGGCTTGATCCTTCCTCCCCCATTGTACATCATGCACATGAAGGTACTGGATCATTCATCCGTTTGGGGTTTGGTATCATGTGTGTAATGCTGATAGCCA